CCTGTTTGTATTTGAACCTGTGTGCTGTGTTCTGTGAGCCCCTGTGTTCTGTGTTCTTTGAGGGCAGCAACTCTATTTTCCCATCATGTTGCATACGTAGTAAGTGCTTAATTGGTGTTTGCCGGGTCAAGAAATGCAGGCAGGGTACTCTGTAAAGCAGATGCCTCTGAAATCTATGTGATGAATTCTAGGATGAGGGATTGAAGAGAAGGACTTTGCGAATTTTTCTTAGAGCTGTCATGATATTTAAATTATCTCACTGCTCTGGGCATATTCTAGCAAGGCAGAAGGCCCTGGGAACACATTCAAAAGTGGGAAAGGCTTATAGGATGTGATGGGAGGCAGTAGTCTAGAGTGGCCTTCAGGCCTGGGGATTGGGGACCTTCTGGGTAAGACTCTTCTTTTACCCACATGTGTGGCCTTTGTCAAACCCAGGCCTCAACAGTCTGCAGGAGGTCAGTGGTTCTCCAGGTGTGGTCCCCAGACCAGCAGCATCAGCATCACCTGGGAGCTTGTTGGAAATTCAAATTCTCAGGGCCTGCCCTAGACCTACTGAATCAGAAACTTTGGGGCTGGGACTTGGCTATGTGTCTTAACAAGTCATCTAGGTGACTCTGTTAGATGCTAAAGTTGGACAACCTCTGGACTCGCTCAGTGCTTCTTAAATTGCACTCTGTATAAGAAACACTTGGGGTAACTTATTTAGAATGATGATCCGTAGACCCTATTATAGAAGCCTGATTTGGAAAGTCAGAGAGGCCCTGGAATCTGCACCTTAAACAAGCACCCTGGGAGATTCAGAATCCGTCTCCAGATCCTACACTGAGTTCATCAACACTGCAGGAGGTGATCACTGATGCCCCTTGTGGCAGCAGCCAGCCTCTGGTTCTGACTGACTAGGAGCTGAGCTGTTGGTACAATGAGTGGCAGAAACGCGGGCCTGACAGGCAGGTGCTTGGCCTACCTTCTGATTGGCCAGGAGAGGCCCTCGGGAGGGAACAGTGATGACTGTGCTGTGGGACAGAACTCTGAAAGGAAAGAGGCTCTGTACCTGGAATGGGACAGTCTTTCCCCAAAATAGCCCAGAGGGGTACCAAAGGTAGGGTGTAGCAGTTCTGCCCCTTTAAATACCATTGTAATTTGCATTTAAAAATAGAAGCTCATGAATAATTTGTGAGTCATGAGCAAGCCCCTTCAAAATACAGTCATGAATAAAATATCCTGCTTTGCTTCCTCTAATGGCGCTGGCCTTTGATGTTTTATTGATGGCTCCCCTGCCCTGAGTGCTGCCAGGCTCCTGGATTAATTCATGTGATCGAGCCCTCGACCCTCCCGGGTAGGTGGGCTTGCTCTCGCTGGCTGGCTGGATTGCTTACACATAAATACACCAGCCTGTTTTAGACAGTTCAAAAGAGTTGCCTCAGATTCCTTTGGAACAAAAAGTATAATTACAGGGCTGTGGGAACCTCTGCTCGGCCCCACTGAGAGCGTGGAACCTAAGTCACCAGAAGCCATTGTTTGCAGCAAGGTGAGTATTTGGGGCAGGTGCAAGTGTGTCTCCCATTTTATTGCTTCCTAAGAAGCCAGGAATGGAAAGCAGACAGTTGGGAACAGAGCCCTTGAGAACCTCAGCCCGGTCAGTGTTGGTAGCTCCAACATTGCTGCGGTTCCAAAGAGGACCCCCCAAGTCTGGGACGATGAGAGGAGCCCAGGGCCACAAGAGACCATGGCAGAGCAGCTGAGCGAGAGACTACAGTGGTCCGCTGGGAAAGAGTGGGGGCTCCCTTGGACCCTGACTGCCCACTCCAACCCCTTCTCCCCACTCTGCGACCGACCATCAAGTCCTGGGCTACAGTCCCCAGGCAAGGTCTCCTATGGAGAGTAGGATACGGGTCCTGGTCAAGATGCAGAAGGAGGTCATGGGGTGGAGGCAGATTGAAGCCATCAGGAAGCACAAGCCCTGGTGGAAAGAAAAGACCCCAGAAGACACGGTTCAGCATGCCTGCACCCCCTCCAGGGATCGAGGGCAGCAAGACAGTCTGCATAAAGTGGGTTCTGTCCCACTGGGGGCAGGCAGCACCAGGACTAGACCTTTGACCACCATCTGCCAAAAAGTTGTCGCCAAAATATATCTGCCCATTATGATGTAAATGGCATCCCTAGAGTTGTGGAGCGTACAGTCTGCAGTCACACACAGCAGCCCTGGGCAGGGTTGGGGGGAAGGGGCTCTCTCATCATCACCCCAGGCTGCCCTTCAGGGGCACGTGCATTTAATAGCATCAAAGCCTCCTGCGAAAGGAACTCATGGCATTGCCCACCAGGGGTGGGGATAGGTATTTTTCAGAGAGTATCTTAGTCCTTTTGGGCTGCTATAATGAATTACCATAGATTGGGTGGCTTATTAAGAGCAGTATTTGTCTCTCATGTTCTGGAGGCTGGAAAGTCCAAGATCAAGGTGTCAGCAGATTCCGTGTCTCATGAGGGCTGATTCCTGGTTTGTAGATGGCCATCTTCTTGCTGTGTCCTCACAGGATGGAAGGGACAAAGGAGCTCTCTGGAGTCTCTTTTATGAGAGCACTGATCCCATTCATGAGGCTCCACCCTCATGACCTAATCACCTCCCAAAGGCCCTGGCCCTTAATACCATTGGGATAAACATATGGATTCTGGGAGGACACAAACACTCAGTATACAGCACAGAGGGTACTGGCACTGGGGTTCCCCGAGGCTCCTAAAAGAAGATCATGCTTATGTCATTACGTCCCCCAGCACGAGAATACAGCCTTGGGTACAAAGATCTTCACTGTTCATCCAGTTCATTCATTCTACTCCTATTCATACTTGGATCAAGGGTTTATTCCAGTCTCTGGAATTAAGCCTAACTTAGTGTAGAGTCGGTATTCTGGTATAAGAATGTTGGTTTGACAGATTTGAAAGCGGATCAGAAGTGCGTGTGTGTGTGTGTGTGTGTGTGTGTGTGTGTGTGTATGAGACAGAGGGAGAGGGAAGGAGAGAGAGGGGCTGTGGATGGAGGCTTCATTAGGAGAAACTAAGGAGCTCACAGGAGGTGAGAACAGCTAATTGCTGTCTTGTCCACACAGTCTGGGAGACAATGCAGAGTAAGGTATTGCTGAGACTCAGGGGAAGCAAATACCCTAGAAAAGGCAAGTGAGAAAACAGGAAATGTGTCCAGGCCAGAGGAGGAAGGAGATTGCTTCTATTTCCTCGTCTGCCTCTCAGTCTGTATTAAACAGAGCATCCTTTCTCTGGAACATTTTCCCTAATTTCATCCAGATCCCTTTGTTCAGGATTGACACAGGAGACAAGGTGGCCTGACAGGGACTCTGCAGCCAGATGGCTGGGATTTTAGGATAATACTGCCACTTCCCGATCGGGTGGTCTGGGGTGAGCTGGCGCTGGTGAGCCTCAGCTTCCTCACCTAAAAACCTGTAAAGTAGTCATTCCACGCATGACCTTGCAGGGTTGTCGTGAAGGTGAAATGAGGGTGTTTAAGCCTTGGCACTTAGTAAGCTCGGTAAGTGTAGTGTCAATGCTTCTTGAAAAGAAAATACATAGGAATAGTAAGAATATCACTGTAAGATGTGGGACAGGTATACATATTAAATATGATGAATTAACAACTTCATTACACATACATGGAAACAAATCACATATGGCACAAGGGTATTCTGTATGTCTCCTTCTTACCCTATTCTTAGTTTCTGAGCCCCTTCTTCCAAGAGATGAAACTTTTTTCCTCCTGTTTGACGGGCCATGTTTCAGGCTCTCCTTTATTTCACACTTGTGATTTAATCATCTCAACCCCCAAGATTTTTTATGCAGCTCCTCTTGCCTGGGAGCCAGTTTTACAGAAAACATGATTTGAAATGTCTAACAAATAAATAAGCATTCTACACGTTTGTTCTACAAAGGATTCATTTTCTCACACCTTGGTGCCCCAGACAAATACATCTGCCTCACTGGCACCTTCAGTGGCAGCTGGTGTGCTTCTGTGTGATGGCCAAGAGGCAGGGACAGTGCCCTGAGTGCATAAGGTGCGAAAGACAAATGTCATTTGGGAGTGCGCTTTCATGGGCATTTGGGGGAAGGCTGTGGTTGCACCTGGGCCGCTGCCTCTTCTCACTGAAGTGTGACTTCCACTGGCTACTGGCTCCTGCAAAATGGTCTTTTGTGATAGGGGCATTTGAGAGTCAGCCCTGCGCTCCTGAAGTAGCAAATACCATGGCTGAAATCTCACTTTGGCAAATGATAAGCAATCAAAGCCAATGAAAGTTTTCTTTTTCCTGCTGGGCCCCTAAAAATGGCACCGATGTAGATTCCTGCTTGGGTTTATATAAGCACTTAGTAGCAGTGATGGGATCCCCCAACCCCATCCTGCCTCCCCACTCACCTCCATCACCTTTCCAAGTCTTCATGGAGACAGGGCTGTGTTCAGTCGATTCCAGCTCTGGGGAGGCCTGGCCCAACACCAAGGGTGTCAAGCCTCAGGCCCATGGGGAACAGGACAGATGGACTGTTTCAAGGACCTAATGCATCTTCCCACAGATGCAGTGGGAGAGGAACTACAAAAAGGAAGTGTTTTGCTCCAATGTAGATGCTCCCTCCTCTGGCTGCAATAACCTCAGAGCACTAGGTTCTAAAGAAAGCTCTGTGATCCTAGAATTTCATATCCATTCACTCAACAAACATCTATTCTGAGGTCCTGGGTGTACGGTATTGCTCTTGACCTCGAGAAGCTCACAACAAACAAACTGCAGAACAGCTGATGTGAGTGCAGAGGGCAGAGTACAGAGTGTGGGCAGATGGAATGACTGGGCACTGCATCATGAGTTGGGGCAGGGAGCAAAGGGCATTTGTAGAGGGGACAGCTTGTGCAAAGACACCAAGAGAACAGCATGACATGTTTGCAAAGTTCTGTCCCTAAGTGTCCTATACTTGCTTCTCCTCATTTTATTTTCTTCCTTCCTTTCTCCATTCAGAGTTCTGAAATCACCTCCATCACCTGTCAAAGACCTAGGAACTACTGCAGAATCTTCATGGGGAGCTTGGCCACCCGGCCAGGACATCCTTACCTCTGATGAAGACCAGTGGGCAGTGTCAGTTCAGACTCAGTAGTGCTCTCGAATGAGCTCCTGGCATGCTGGGTCTTAAAAGACGAGGCTCATCCACTCTCACCCCACTGGGCCTCTGCTCTTCCTCAATTGCATCCACATCCAGCCTGCTCCAGGCACAGGGCCTTTGCACTGCCTGTTTCCTCTTCCTGGTAAGCCTCCTTCCCTAGGTATCTGCATGACTCACCCACCTTTTTTTTTTTTTAATGTAGCTGCCTTTTATTAAGTGCCTACCATGTGACAGGGGCTGATCTAGCATTTTATGCATTATCTCATTTAATCCTCACCATAAGCCCATGAATTAGGTATCATCATTCACTTTTTAAGGACTGGAGGTCTCAGAGATTGAGTGACTTGCCCAGGTCTCCTTTGCTAGGAAGTAAAAGGCTCTGTGTGTGTCCAGGTTTATCAGGTTTCAAAGTCTGTGCTCTGTTCCTGTTGCTTTTTTTTTTTTCCCCACCCACTTCTTTTAAGTCTATTTTTAAACACTCCCTTCTCAGTGAACCTTCCCTGGCCATCGTATGTTCAACCCCTCATCAATCTACATCTTCATTTCCTGCTCTATTTTCCTCCAGAGCATTTATTAACATAGCTTATATTTTGCTTACAAATTGTCTTTATTATCTATCACTCCCCAGCCTGCAATTAGAATGTAAGCTCCTGAGGACAGAGCTAGAACAGTGCCTAGCACATAGCAGGTGTGCCCTACATGTGTGTTGAGTAAATAAGAGAGACATGGATATTTCTGAGGACTGAAGAGACATGGCTGGGCCCATCTTGCACCTCTGCTGAGAGGTGGTTGTGCATTGCAAGAGAAATCGCTAGGAAATTCCTCCGCCCGGTTTCCAAACCCCTGCTCCCTTGACTCGGGGCCCCACCGATTTCTTTCAGAGAGGCCTCATGCCCCTCTGCCAGATCCGGTCACAGCATCTTCACGATCTCACTGGGGCATTGGGACTAGGAAGACAGTGGCGGCCCCTCTTCCCATCCTCCACACGGCAGATGCTGCTCGGATGTTTGTTCAACTGATTGGGCCACCCCCTCCTTGCTCTCACCACAGGCAGTATTTTCTTAGCGTAACTTGGCAACAAAGGTGTGAAACGGAGATATAAGAATGCCCTTGTTCACAGCTTCTGGTTTCTGCCTACCTGAACTCACCAGCAGGAAGATCTTTTATTCGGGGGTGTGGGGGGAGGAGGGAATACAGAGCCGGGGGGCCCTGGTTAGCTTTCTTGCTGTTTCTCCCGCTGCTTTTGCAGTGGCCTTTCTGCCCTTGGGATCCCAGGCTGTCCGGTTACTGAGTAGCTCATCGCCCCAGCCTCGCCATGCGTACACCATCACTACAGTGATGCTGGTCTCCGTTCCGTCCACCCTGAGACCTCCCAGCAACCCCTAAAGACAGGGGTTGTGCCATAGGAAGGTGACACAGGAGCAAATCACGAGGGGAGAGATTGGAGGGAAATCCCATCGTTCCCTCACAGAGGTGGGGCAGACCAGAATTCCCTTAAAATCACCCTTCCTAGAATGGGGCCAGGTGAGGGGGATTTCCTCAGGGCTGGAATAGCCCAGGCTTCGCGGGGCCTTAGCAGGCTCCCAGACACAGCTGCCTCCCCTTCCCACAGCAGAGGGAACCTTGGTCCTCCAGGAGCCTTCAGCTAGAAAGGAGCTCGAGTGGAAGTCGGGACCCAGTGCTGGGCTGAGCAGGCACGTGAGCGCCAACTCTGGATGAGTTGGTGGACGGGCCATCTCTGGCATGGGCCGGCCCTCTGTGAGCTTCAGTGATGTTTGGGGCTCTCATCCAAAGGCAGGTGGTTTCCCCGGCCCTCCCATTGCTTCTGTAGCTTTAGGCACAGAACTGATGCTATACATGAAGTAGGTGACTTGCTGTTACCCCCAAGAGGGCCCTCAGCCCTCCCCTGCTGCAGGGTTCAGAGGGAGAATTCTAGTTCTGGGGCCTGTTCTTGTGATGGAGGCTGATTTTGCCTGGAGGGTAGATCTCTGGTGGAAGAGATACACCAGAAGCTATCCAGGAGAGCACAAATCCATGGGAAATAAGTTGCGGCTTTCCCTGCCTGTCCCAACCTGACAGGGGAGAGAGAAGCCTGGGCTGAGAGCGACTGCCCGCTGATTCACCTCTCGAAGGCCCTTTCCCTGGATTGGCCACCTCTCCATCCCTGAACCCGGGGCTAGACCCTGACCGGCCGTGTGCTGAGGATCTGGGCACCTCTTCCCTGCGTTTCGGGTAAGTCCTGCAGCTAAGCGAAAAATGCAATGACTTTTTGGACCTCAGTGTTCTCATCTCTAAAATGGCCTGACTGATGATAAGTGGGCTTTTTCTTCATTCTGAACTCCCAAGCTGGAGCCTTGCAACGTGCACTGCATAGACCAGAGACCAGGAAACTCCAATTACACCTCCAGCTCAACATGTATTAGCTGTCTTTCAGCCTCACTGAATCTTTTTTCTTCCTATGCAAATACGGGCTCGTAACACCCCACAAGGTTACTAGTAGGGTAAACTGAGATATTATATGGGACAAAACTTTATAAACTTCTAGGTTTTATACAATGGAAAGTGCTTAGAAATCTCTGAATCTGGGAATGAGAGGAGCCTGCAAGTCAGAGGGCATATGAGACCTTAACTCTCAGGGGGCTGGCTCACTTCTCTCTCAGTCTAAATTATCACTACAAATGGACAGCAGCCCTGAGGTAGCTCTTTATTTGACCTTGAAGAGACATTTGAATATCATTAAACACTCCAGAGAGTCAGACGACCTGAGACCTCTTGACAACCTTAAAATGCAACCTGGCCATGGGCATCCCAAGTTGCCTTGCTTTCCACTGGGCTGCTTGTCCTGGAGGTGGGCTCTCTTAAAGAGGTGGCATTTGGGGGGTCCTTCTAGCCATCAGTTTACAACTTTGGTATTTGGAAGAAAGAGTCAGAGTCAACTCAGAATTGCCCAGGACAAACTCTCCAGTCTGCTGTGTTTGCTGCCGCCAGATGGACCCGTCTGTTTGGGATGGGAGAGGGGTGTTAGGAAGAGAAGAAAAATTCTCCACCAGGTACCATTTTTTACTCGCTCAGAAATTTAACTGGGGATCCCTACAGCTTCAGTTGGAGCCCATTTCTCCTTGTCTTTCCTCAGTGATAGGAAAATAATTGGTTCCCATCACCTTCAATGTAGATAATCTCACTAGAGTGAACAATTGCTACACCACCGACTGGGCTGTGGGGCTGAGACAAAGGCAAATTCCAGAATTTTGCAGATAGATTTGATTTATTTTGTGTCTCTGTCTCATCTGTGACATGAATTTTCAGTTTGAAAACTATGATCATCATGATTTTAGCTTTCCCCACATCCTTTTTATTTCTTCCTGAAGTTCTTTTATCATCTATCTTGGTTCATTCTCTATTCTTACACATGAAAATGAGATCTGCCCACTTCCTTCGTCTTGAACCTGGGCTCATCAAGGTTTCTCTGTCTTTTGGGTGGTTTTATCCAACTTCTCTTGGAATCTTGATGGTAGGAGCTGCAGAAGCAGGGTGAGGATACTTTTTATACATCCTCCAGGCTGGGAGGGTGGATGAAGAGGTTACTGTCTTTCCTGGTTGCTCTAAAGCCTCCCACCCTGACCATGGGGAGAAGAAAGCAGGCAACATTTGGCAGCTCTATAAAGGTGCACTTTATTTTTGTAGAACTTTCAAATTTTTTCCCGAGGGCAAGTACATTCCCTTTGTAGAAGCACAGGGATTGGGCAGTTATATTTAAGAACCATTTCAGAAAATAGAGTATGCCTCTTGTCTTAGTTTGGGCTGCTGGAACAAGAACTCCATAAACTGGATTGCTTAAATAACCACGAACATTTATTTCTCACAGTTCTGGAGGCTGGAAACCCAAGATCAGGGTACCAGCATGATTGGGTTCTAGTGAGGGCCCTCTTCCTGCTTTCTTCAGATGGGGGATGGTGGGGGGAAGAGAGAGAACAAGCTGGGATCTTTTCATTAAGGGCACCAAACCCATCATGGAGGTTCCTCCCGCGCGCAACCTCATCCAAACCTAATTACCTCCCAAAGACCCCATGTCCAAATACCATCACTTTGGGGATTAAGGCTTCAACATACGAATTTGGCGGGGGGGGGTACACAAATATCCAGGCCATAGCACCTCTCCTCCTGTAGTTTGCATCTTCTAAGCTTTCACAGAAGCCATATTCAGTCTTATTTCCTAGCTTAAACTAATGGGGTCAGTACCAGCTGCCTGTAGGCCAATGTGACAGTTTTTTGTGTTCACTGGTGGGCATTCTCCAACTGCTGAGGTGACGAAGTTAACAAAGAGGATGCAGAGGCCTGGAATAGGACAAGAAATTCAACTCGTTGCTCACAGCCACAACTGAACCCCTGGGATCTGTTACAGGAGTGTCCTTTTCTCCACACTGATGCTCAGAACTTCCTAACAAGGCCCGTGTAACAGTGCTTCTTCAATACATTTAGTGTGATTATGCACATGCTGTTACAGAACACCTTTGAAGTGTGCTTGCTTTGAATTTACTTGAATCAGATAATTAGTTTACAGACAGAAAATATATACTGTTTTAATTTGTCCAACTTTGGTAAGAACTGCTTTGGGAGTTGTGTGCAGCATGCTATAAAAATAACTCCTTTTAATTATATTTATTCACTTAATGAATCACACAGATAGTAGGTAAGTGGAACGTTGAGGCAGCCTGCAGAGTTGCCCCAAAGCTTCACATTTGTACCGTGCCTTATGATTTATAATGTAATTTCAAATCCAGTCTTATCTTACATTTGCAGGGAATTTTTCAAGCTTTTGTACACCTAGTAAGATATAATGCTGGATCTCAGTTTTGGATCTTCTGGCTTCATGTCTTGTGCTTTTTACAAATGCATTGAGAAAAATCACACAATGGAGTCAAGAGAGCCTCATTGGAATTCTCACCCTGACACTTAGTAGCCATGTGACCTTGGGAAGGTCACTTAACTTCTCTGAGCTGCAGTACATGAAGTCCTCATAGGTTAAACTAGGAGACAATAAACCTGAGACTGCTTTGGAATGCATAAAGCGTAGATCTCAAGCCTTACATGGAAAAGGATGCCTGTTAATGCAGAGATTAAATGGGGTGCCTGGAGAGGCCATAATTATTCATGTTGTTGTTATTAGTAAGTGCAATTGACAACTGCTTCTTTGTATATAGCCCACACAGAAATTCACCTGGAGGCAGATCTTCTAGAACTCTTGATCCCTCTTTTTTTTTTTTTTTTTTTTTTTGCGGTATGCGGGCCCCTCACTGTTGTGGCCTCTCCCGTTGTGGAGCACAGGCTCCGGATGCACAGGCTCAGAGGCCATGGCTCACGGGCGAGCTGCTCCGCG